GTTATACAAAAATTAAATACATGTATAAAAATTCTAACTTACGAACTTCGTTACATTGAAGATGCTTGGAAGAGGAATTATATTCATAACTCATAAGGATAAAGGTTTTTGTCTTTATGATCGATGATGTACTTCAGTACGTACCCTCTTATATTATGACACCTTCGTAGGAAAAATTGATACTAATAATCCCAACTATTGGCGGTCCGCTCATAATAATCTCAACTATTGATTATTATAGAATAATCCCAACTTTAGGGACCTTCCGCCAATAATGGTCCCTATGAATAAATTCTTGTAGTTTCTAAAGTGGATGGAGTGAGATATAACAAGTAATCCCTCTAAATAATCTCAACTTTTAATTTTTACGCTTAATTTCTATTTAAAATTCACTTTTTATAGAGGTAATATATGGTCATGGACCATTATTAGCGGATAGTCTATATAGTTGGGATTATACAAAAATAATCAATAGTTGGGATTATTTTAAGCGGATCGGCAATAGTAGGGATTGTTATTTTCAATTTTTCCATTTCGGTATGTAAAAGTTTAATTATCCCAACAAAACATTAGGGTCGAGAAATCAAAACCTCCTAAGCATGTGATTTTCTTTCCCGACATGTGAATTCAATGATTATACCCTACGCCGCAGCGTGAGGGTTATTGACGGAAACCATTTTTAGAAAAGTAGGGTTAAAAATTTGACTAAAATCTTTAGAAGTAAAACACAGACAATTAGATAAAATGTACTTATAGTATTTAAGAGTAAACCATCACTTTGTGTTATCTATAAATAAGTCGCATTCTCTTCCAATTGAGAAACTTGTATGCTTAATACAACAAATAAGTGGTCGCAAAAAAAAAAAGGAAAAATTGAAAATAAAAATCTCAACTATTGTCGGTCCGCTATTAATAATCTCAACTATCGATTATTTCCTGGATGGTCCCAACTATAGGGGTTATTTTTCAAAAATGGTCCCTAACCTGCTACAACCTGGTATAGCAGGTCAAATTTAAATGCAAACTATGCGTAAGCTATAAATAATACCAACTATAGTTGATCTTCTTTTAGTAATCCCAATTATCAACTCTCAATTATAGAAATATATAAAAAAAAATTATAAATTTTCAAATTAAATATTTTTAAACATGTAAAAATTATCATTAAAATTCTACAGATGTACTGAAGTTAAATAAAAACATATTCAATCATTTTTATTATTATTTATTTTCACTAAAATTACATTCTTTTTCTTTTTTCCAATTTATTTTTCCTAGTTGTGCTAACAAGTTATGATTTTGTATTATTTTCCTTTATTAAATTTTATACTTTGTGTTGTCAAAAAATATATTGTAATTTAAAAAAATTATGATTTAAATCTTTATTCTGGATGTTTTCATGAAAATCGATTTTATTAAATTTTATGCTATCTTAATTGTAAAAATCAAAATTCTCTATTTTTCAATTTTAGTATTTTTAATTTCTTTCTATTACTTTATTTTATGTTATTATATTCTATAAATTATATGATATAGATACCATTGAATTCTAGTGATTTGGGACATAGGATTAGGAGATTTTTTGCTATGTTAATGAAAATGTATTAATATTTTAATTTTAAGTTAAACATTTTTTCTATTTTTTCCAAAAAAAAAAGAACAAACAAGTCATATTTTGTGAATAAAACATAGATGCTCTTGTGCACATTTTCAATGTTTTACTCCAATTTGAAAATTTTAAATATTTTAATTGGTTAATTAATAAAATATTGATCACAGATTAACCGCTTTCACACTAGTATTCAAATCATATGCTTTGTATGCCTGTATCATTTGATCAAATTTGACTTGAAAGTGATTTATGTATTTGAGAGTGTGGAGATGTAAGAAGTGATTGGACCATTTCTATGTATCATGCTTTAAAGTTAAACATAAACGATTTATATTGGGCCCATAAGCCCATTTAAACGCTACCGGATTATTCTCAATCATATTGGGCCACCGTCAGATTCTACTGGACTGCTCGTAATAGTTGTTGGACCTTATCCAAAGGAAAGTATTAATATGAACTCATTCGACTATAATTTAGTGATTAAATTAATTCGATCTATTTAAACGTCCGATTAATTTAATTATAAATCAAGTCTTTAAAAGAATAGACAAGTCCTACTAAATATATTTTAAACCCATTATTAAATAGTGGTTGAATATATAAGAGATATGATTCAAAAACATTGCATAAGTGATGATTTTTCTAACTTTTGAAAAAGTAGATAGAGTTCAAAGCCTATTGCAATTGAAGCCCTAGAGATACGGACGAATTCTTGAATCCCTAAATGATATCTCATCCCCCTCCACACCTGTAAATTGGGGTGAAAGAAATAGATGAGAAAACTTTCAGAATTATGGAGAGGCTGTTTAGAAGAAGAGGAAGAGATCAAGAGACAAATATTATTAAAAATAAATGAATGATTCTCTGTGATTTCGTCTATTCTTGATTAAATAAGTTCAAATTCTGAAGAACACTCGAAGATTTGATGAATGAAGCCTTTTAGATTTGAAGATTTGAACAACAAATATATGAAGATTCAAAGATCCGAAGAACGAGTCTTTGAATAATTGAAGATATTCATATCAATATTGAAACTAGATTCAATTGAAGATCAAGCGATGTATCTCGAGAAGCCCTTTAACTAAAGATTAAACCATAAAATGACCTTTTTGTTGAAGATCAATCTACTTGAAGACGGGAAGGCCGTTCAAACTGAATTCTACATTCAAGAACACTCAAAGATTTAAAGGACCAAAGTTTTAGAGATTTGAAAATTCGAAGAATGAAGGTTCGATGATATGAAGAATGAAGAATCAAATATCTAAAGATCTCAAGAACAAAGGTTTTAGGATATGAAGAATGCTCAAATATTTGAAAAAAAAATCAATTTCAAATTTAATTCTTTAATTATATTTATTTTAAATTGCAAATGAAGAGTCACAGAACCCATATTTAAAGATAAACAATTGTAGCTACACACTTATTACTTTGAATAGAAATAGTAAAAAAAATATAGACAGCTATATAAGAAAAGTGCATAAAGTTTTATGAGATGGATGAGTAGTCCATTCAAGATGTTTTGAATAGCACCAAAACGTTTTGATTTGACATGGACAAACGTTTTGATTTGACATGGACAAATCTGTTTAGGTCTGATCTAGTCTCATAATTTTCTAGTTTAGTAAACTTTTAATGTATGTGTGTTTTACTATTTCTAAGTCTAGGGTTTAATCTAATTTGGCCTCATATGAATTGGTCTTGAGCTTTAGATAATTCACTTTGACATGTCTGCATAATCCAAATTAAAGCTCTCATCTTTTTTCTGTCGTGACAAGGAATTTGATAAGGAATTTTCTCTATTTTTTTGCAAACCAAATGCTTTTTATTTTCTCAGCATGTGTCCCTTCTAGTTGCTCTGCACATATATTGGCAGGCCAACCTCTGATTATCTTTTTGTTGTGCGTCACTTTCTTTGACAGATTTTATTGATACACATACACTGAATTTCATGATTGCTTTTCCTTCAAATTTTCATCCTCTCGAATTGCTTAACAATATTTGAATGAATTTCTTCTATGAATGAATCTTCTTCTCATGTTTATGTTGGTGCAGACAAGAGTGAGATATGAATACCTTTAATCCTTGACACGGTGTGGCAGACTCAATTCCAAACTCCAAATTTGAGGAAGATATTCTGCACTAAAATTGACCATTAATGGTTGAGCAGGTGTAGGTAAGTGAAAGGAGTAAAGATTGAAGAGGAATGCCTAATTTACGGATACTTTTAGAAAAGGGATAACATTTATAAAAGGAATGGATTGAACCTCAATGTTAGCTCATTTTTGGAGTATTAGTGCTATATGAGTAGTGTGTAACTTTGTGATTTGATTCCTAATGATTTTAATTTTTGAATAGTGTATTACCCCATATAACAAAGCACAAACAATTTTGTAGTCAATATTTTTAATCCTACTTAGAAACTTGTGAAATTAAACTAAGAACTTGATTTCAGGATAGAAGGAATATTTCAATCGATCAGTCTTTATAAATCTCAAGACATAGATGCAAGTCATACAAGTGATACAACTAACCTAGGGGTGGACTGAACCGGGCCGGTTCGGGCCTCGGGCCTCGAGTCTGGGCCCGGCCAGGCCTCGGTTCAGAATATTGAGGCCCGAGCCCGAACCGGGGGTGGCCGGTTCCGGGCCGGGCCACCCGCCCTATTTTTTTTTTTTTTTGGCTTCTTTATTTAATCTCTTACCCCTCTTCCTCAACCCCAAACCACCTCAAATGGATCAAAATACCTAATCTAACCCAAAACTTTAAAAATTTTCAAAAAAAAAATAAAAAAAAAAAATTATTTCCGGCCCAGCCCGGGCCCGAACCAGCCGGGCCGGTTCACCATTTGGAAGACCCGGGCCCGGAACCGGGAACCACCGAGCCGGTTCGGCCCGAACCGCCGGTGGACCGGGCCACCGGGCTGGGCCAGTTGCTACAGTGGCCGGGCCGGTCCGAGCCCAGGCCTAAACTAACCTATTTATGTTGCAAGATCCATGATTATGTACCTCATCAGTCACACGGTATAAATTTCTTAAACACGGTATAATCAGAGTTATACACCAATCTTTAATTTTGTTATCAGCACAAGATAACATACCAAGCATGGCTGTCTTTTCTTTTGGGACAAAACATGATGTATTTATAAATATAAGACCAGAATACACCCTTACTCCTCAGAGGCTTAGACCCGATATGAACAAGCTAGTTTAACAATCACGTTTATGTGCTGCAGGCCTGCAACCATCTACCTTTCCGAACCCAGTGCAACATGAATTTGGAATCTGGACTTCCTGCAACCATCTACACTTCTCATTGTTTCAGTGACAGGGTCGAACAAACATGACCAATGTAATAAAAATGGGATAACACATAGGTACCACTCAAAGACCTTAGTTTTATTGATGTTTAATCAGCAATATGATATTCAATCTACGGGATAAACCTTTAAGAAAGAGTCTTAGAATTAAACCTTCCCTTTCAAAATCGCAAGCAGAGCATCCTTCTATAAGTGAAAGTACACAAGTCTCATAAGAGATGTAAATAAAACACATAGCATTATAATGATGAAGGAACTAAGCTGGCCAATTTTAAAAACAGTGCTGCCTTACACATTCAACAAACATAAGACAGAAACTCAAAAAAAAATGCAGAAGTTGACAACATACAGATGCGGATTTTGCTGAGTATCTATTCCACATCTTTATTCTTCTTTTTCTTCTTCTCTTTCTTCTTCTCACTTCTATCTGCTTCTTCTTCGTCACTTCCAGCTTCAGCAGGCTTCCCATTTTCTGCATCTTTGTCTTTCTTCTCTTTCTTTTTCTTCTTTTTCTCTGACTTCTCCATATCTGGTGATGCCACTTCTTCTTTGATTTTATCCTTCACTGACTTCTTCCCATCATCTGCCTCCTCAGCCTCATCAACTTCCTTGCTCTTCTTCTTTTTCTTCTCTTTCTTCTCACTCTTGACTTCCTTTGCTCCTTCCTCTTCCTCTTCTTTGACAACCTTTGCCTTCTTAGCAGCCCCATGTGATGCAGGGCTGCCGATGTCAATCTCATCCAATTTACGCTTATTTCCCTCATCCTCCACCTTGACCTCATCACCCTTTCCTTTTTTCTTTTTCTTCTTGCCCTCAACCTCAGCAACCACAATACTGTCCACTGCCGTTGCTGGATCAGCTGGATCAGCCGGGGCAGCAGCTAGCCCGGCAATCAAGGAGTCCCCTCCAGTGGGCAGGATGACATTCCTCATCCACTCAGCCGGGGTGTTCTCATTTGGTTTCCCGTGCTTACCCAACTTCCCCTCTGAGATGAGTTTCTTCTTCATGCAAGCCCTAGGTCCTAACCCCCATTTCCTAGGGTAGGTGTCTCTATCCATCACCACCCTCTTAATCTTAGCAACCACACCATGATCACAAGTGGCCATGACAGCAGTTGTCATTTCAGCTATCCCTAAAGCTATGGCTTCTCCCTTTGTAGTCATCAGCACAACCTCCTCCCCTGCTTCTATATCATTCTCAAACCTTAACAGGCCAGGAATCATAAGCTTTGCACCATAACAGATAGCATTGACAGCAGAGTCCTTCACTACTAATCTCTTGTAACTAGTGAGGATTACTTCCAGTGGCATAATCACCCTTCTCAAGTAACTCTCATCACGATAGTTATCATAAACCCACTGCGCATCCATAACATCATGCATCGTCACCATGTTATCCTTCTCACCAGAAATCCCAGACCGGACCCTTCTCAATTCCTGCATGTGTGCTCCCACACCCAACAGCAACCCAAGGTGGACGCACATGGTTCTCACGTATGTCCCTGCCTCGCAAGAGATCCAGAATACGACCAGGTGCTTATCAGCGTCATACTCCAATAGCTTGCTCTCGTAAATGGTTCTAATCCTAAGTTGTCTTTTGACGGCGGAGATTAGTGGGGGCCGCTGGAAAACGGCGCCGGTTAGAGTTTCTAAGGCCCTAGCCACTTTAGCAACATCAGGAACGGCTGAGTGCAATCGGGCGATACAGACGTATTCCTTCCCTGCACCCTGCTGGGATTTCACAAGCCGGGTAGCTCGATCAATACAGACAATCAAGTTCCCTGTCACTTTCGGGTCAAGGGTTCCACTATGACCCGTCTTCTCGACCCGAAGGATTCTCTTAATCCAAGCCACGACTTCATGGGAAGAGGGATTTGAGGGCTTATCTAGATTGAGAACACCGTACCTGATATACTCCGCGAGTGGCCGCTTGAGAGGGGAGTAGCCGGAGGGAAGAGGAGTGTAATGTCCGGTCCGAACATTGAGGCGATCGTAATTCTTCAGAAGAATTGGCCATTGGGAAGTATCGATGGAAGGAGTGAAGTTCTGGGGCTTAATGAGATAGTCTCCCTCAGCCTGGGTCGTATCTGCGCTGACTGCTTGAGCATCCACTTCTTCTTTAGAGCTGCTCTTCTTCTTCTTTTTCTTCTCGGAACGGGAAAGCTCGACGTCAGTCATGGCTGCGGATGAAGGTGATGGAGGTACTAGGGTTTGCTAGTACTGGTGGAAGCCCGTAGAAAATGTGGAGGGAGCTAGGGTTTAAGGACTTCACATTCGAGGGTTTTTTCTCTAGGGGTTTGGAAATGAGGATAAGATGGGCTTTACTTTCTGCCACTAAGATGGGCGGCCCGTAAAGTGGGGTGGTGTTAAGATTTCGACAAAGTGCTTTCATAAAAACGCTTCTAGCAGTCCAGAATAGAACTCCACAAAAATGGGTTTGGGCCGGGCTCGGACAGGGCTTTTTATAAAAAAAAATTATCTATTATGTGTGGGCGGGTACGGCCCATCTCGGCCCAGCCCGCAAAAACGGGCCTACTTACATGTCCGTACCTGCCCATAAGAGCGGGCCGAGAAGTATCCACCGGGCTCTCCGGATAGGCCTTTTAATGGGTCGAGTCTAGACCCGGACCCCCATCGGGCATTCGGGCCCTGACTGTTTTTAACGAGTATGGGACTATATTTTATTCTGTTTACCCGGACCCATTAGTATGGTTAATAAATGGGTGTGGTACATACGATTCTAACCTGTTAAGGACTCGTGCCCGTTTAAATTTTTTTATTGAAATATATATACACACACTAACACACACACACTAACACACACACACACACATATATACATATTAATACATAAAGTTATTAGTTGTATTTCTTTAATAATACACACTAATACATACCTATTGTATAATTGATACTGATCAAGATAGTGAGATACTCTAAAACTAATACTCTGATCTACTAGCCTTTTGTGCGAGAAAAAGACACAGAGTGCGGAGTTTTACACCTCTACAAGAATCGATACTTTATTAGATAAAAATACTACTTTTCTATGAGAAATTTGAAAAGTGAAGATATATTTTGTTTTTAAGTTTACGCACTTTTCTTTACATTTCATACACATGTAATGTTATTTCCACAAAATTTATAACTTTATGCGTATCATACTAGCTTGGCGGGTCTACCCGACCTAGTTCCAAGACCTGTTGGGTCCGGATCCGGATCCAAATTTTCAAACCCGCCTGGTATACTGGTCGGTTCTGGATGCTTTTATTAACTTAGCGGGTCTGACTTTGGAACACTACGTTCCGGACCCGACACATTGACAAGCCTACGCCCGGCTTGGGAAAACTTTAATTTTTCAAAAGTATATAATTGTTTAATACTTTTAAAATATTACTACCTCCGTCCTAGGGACAAGTTCCCACTTTCCTTTTTTGGCAGTCCCAATAAGAAGTTCCCATTTCCCTAAATGGAAAGTTATCTTACATCAAAACAGTGCCAAACAGTGCAAAACAGTGTCAAGCAGTGTCGAAACAGTGCCAAACAGTGTCGAAACAGTGCCAAACTGTAAAATTTACCCCTCAGTAACTTTATTTCCTTAATATGTGTGAAAGTCAACCCGTGAACTTTTCCATGGGACGGAGAGAGTATTACAACATTTTAAAAATTGTTAATACACTTATAATGTTTATTGGTCTTTCACCACATACACACAAAAAATACTTGCACAGAAATATTCAAGAGAAACTATACCTAAAACTTAAAATTCAAGCACAAAGCATTACACAATATCTTTTAGTACAATATTAGATATTATGTTGGTTGAGCTAGTTGTTAAGTTCAAGAACTAAAAACTTAAATTTAAACATAAGAAATTATAAATATGTATAAAAATAAATTAGTAAACATAAATATACATGCGTACATGTAAATAAGTAAATAAATAAACTAGTACAGATGTAAGAGTCGATTGAGTACGTGAGCTTGTATGAGGTGAAGTGAAGAGTACACTATGTTGCATTTGACATTTGTAATTACATAAACTCCGGTTTTTAATGTTAATTGAGTAGTTGAGTATAATCGTTATATTAACACGTTAATATAGATGAGTTGGTTAACAGAATGCTAACTAAGAAGGGGCAATCGGCCACGATTATGGTGTCGACCTTCAAGAAGTCAACCAAAAAGGAAAAGTTGACTTTTAGAGACCGACTTGCGGGGGCATCGAGCTAGGGGTGCATCAACCAAGGGAAAGTCGATCTGCAGGGGATTGACGTTGAACAAGAGAAAGTCGAACAAGGGGTCGAGGGCCGGGGTCAACCTTCAATAAGTCAACCTATTAGCATTTTGTTAGCCAACTCAGACAAAATTACGCGTTAATTTACCGGGTTTGCTCAATTAACACTAAAAAATGAGTGTGTGTACATATAAATATCAAATGAAATTTAGTGTACTCTTTACTCCACCTCATACAAGTTGATGTACTCAATTGACCCTTTCCTCGATTAGTATATGTGTGTGTGTGTGTAAAATATATATGTACATATATTAAATGTACCGGGTCGGGCTTATCGGCCCGAACGGGCCTACACCATAACCCAAGTCTGCCGATATGTTATTGCGGGTCACACCTAGTCTGAGCCAGTTGGTGAATATATATGCCCAAACCCACCCATTTATGTGGACAGCCCGGGTCGGCCGACCTGTTTTTGTGCAGATCTAGTCCAGAACTCCAAAACGTGCAAATTATCTGATTTGAAAAATATTGTCTACACTTTGGAGGTACATTAAAGTCACGCAAACTAAATTGTTAGCTAAATGAAGTAGTCTTATTCAGAAATAAATAAATATTTGTCCATATAAATAAAATTTTCTTATAAGAAAGCTAACATTTGAATAACAAGAGAATGAAGTTGATATAAGTAAACTTTTAGATTGTTGAACTGAAACACTGGTTACACTGCAATTAGTGACATTTCAAATCGGCTGATTAAATGAATTTGAGATCCATATAAAATCGGCTTTTCATTCACATAAGAAAACATGTCAAGTAATTGTCTAAATTTATTTATCAAATTTTAGCTCATTTTGATTGAAGTGATATTAAGGTTGTGTTTGGCACAATGAACTGGAACCGGAGACTATTGTTTCAATTGTGGCTATTGTCTAAATAAAAGACTATTGCCTGGAACTAAATTATGACGTGTTGAATCTAAACTACTAATTGTATTAGTTATCTACCATAGTATCATATTTCAAATTATAGAATCTTGTCACCTCAATTTTCATATAATTAAAATATAATTAAAATATTGTGAAATATTTTTGGGAAATGGTGCTGAATAGGACTAAAAAAATATGTTATGTACCCGTATAGGACCATCAACTTTTTTACTCGTAAATAGGACTTTTTAACTCTTATACCTCTTTTGCCCCTCATTCTATCAATTGGAGCAATTACGTACGCTCTTTATTTTCTCTCTAATCTCCGCAACGGAACAACAACGCATGAGCAAGAGGACGTCCAGAGGCTGAGCGCAAGGGGGATTGATTTCATAATCTTGATCCTTCTTCCCTCTATTTTATTGATCCATTTAGTGGTTTAGAAAACACAGTCGATACTCAAAGACTCGTTATCTGCTTCATCTTTGCCTTCTGTATTTTTGACGACTCCAACGTTTTCCTTTTTCTCCTTGTCGTCGGAAGTGACGTCGTCAATGGCGGAGGACGGAAACAAGCTTAAATACCAGAAATCGAACTTGTATATTGATGTTACTCAAGCATGTGATGAATTGCATCAGGCCTTTCTTAAATCACAAGGCCGCCACCGACACGGATCTTCCGGAGTCTTTCGATCTCATGCATCACCGATGGGTGATTGCCCGTCCCTGATTTTACAAAGGATTCTCCTATTTTTCTGATTTATGTTTATAGGATCGGAGTATGTTTTAGCAAATAAACTTTTCGATTTTAAGTTGAATGGATTCCACAGTTTTAGCATCTCGTTAGTAGCTAGCTTGGGTAACTGTCTAGTTGTTATCACAAATAGCTGTTATGTGTTGGTTTGGGTATGTAGGGGTATGTAGTTGTTAATGTATGAATGAGTTTTTCTTTTGCACTAAAACTGCTTGATGAAATGCCTATATGAAAATTCTCCCTGTTTTGCATTTTTTAGTTGAGAAGAATTTTGAGCAGCTTAGTTAAATTGTATGAGCAGGTGGGCTAGTTATGTATGGACTTAACTAAGAGTGCAATTTTGTTCACCCCTCCTTGGAGGGTGACCATAACCCCCCTCCCTATTTGCTTGCCATGTGGCAAAAAAAGAAATGAAATGCCAAATGGCAACATTTGAGCTATGGGGGTTATGGTCACCCTCCAAGGAGAGGGTGAACAAAATTGCACTCCTTAACTAACGGTGTGATTATATGGTAACATTTTCTACTTTTAATCATGACAATGTATAGTAATTATGAAAATATTGTCATTATTTTTAATTAATGAAATTTAATGTTGCTTTTAATTGTGTGATTTTTTATACTATCCATATTATTTTTTATTAATGCAATTACGTTACATTGCATTGTCATATAATGTCATTGATTCTTAAACAATATACTTAAACAATGTCATTAATTTTTAAACAATGACATCATTTTTTGAACAATGACATTGATTTGTAAAAAATGACATTGATTTTTAAACAATGACATCATTTTTTGAACAATGACATTGATTTGTAAACAATGACATTGATTTTTAAACAATCACATTAATTTGTTACAATGACATCGGTTTTTAAACAATGACATTGACGTTTAAACAATGACATTAAATTACATTGCAACGTCATTTTTATAGCACTGGGATTGACATTGTCATTATTTTGGCACTTTTGATAACATTGTCGTATTGTGACATTTTTTGACATTGTGCTATTTTTCCGACATTGTGACATTTTTTCTTATATTTTTACAATGCTCACAATATGATAATATTATTTATTTTGAAAATGGTTATAATAAAAAAAGGATGATACTTCATTCCTTATGGTGCCACTATTTGATATTTAATGAAATTAATAACAATTTCAAAATATTTATTACAATGACATTGACGTTATTATAATGTCATTGTTTATAGCATTGACATTTTCATTTTTTTTATATTGTGACATTTCCTGACATGTGACATTTTCATACATTCTAACGTTGTAATATTTTTCTATATTTTCGCAATGACATTTTTACATGGTTTACCCGACCCTATCCGACATTGTGATTTTCTTAACTTATAATAAAATGTGATATTGT